TTCAACCTCTCTTTTAACACTAACTGGAATTTGGCCTTTGTTGTTCCCAAACGTCATTTTATCAAAATTAATTACACACTTCCTTGGTAGTAAGTAGTCCAACCTTAATATGCATTGTTCTTCAATGTCAGTCAAGTATATTTTGTGTCTGTCCTTTAAGCCCATGGGCTCAATAGTTACCCACACTGGTGCCCACAACCTAGCATAATGTCCTGTCACACCAGAGAGTTTCTGTATGACTTCTGGTACTCCTTTGGGATCCAGCACCTCGATGCTCACAAGGGTTTGCTGAGATGCAGAATCTATGACAAAGTTGCACTTTTGGCCATCCAGCTTTCCTGTCACGTAGACACTGTGTGCTTGCTATTTTACACTTAGCTGTTGGGACTATCATGGTGGGGGTTGGAAGGCGTCCCTCAACTCGAACCACTACTGGTTTCCGCGAGGCTGACTTATTTGTAGTATTCTTCTTACACTATCTCCTCATATGTCCTTGCTCTCCACAGTTCCAACAACCTTTCTGGGTAGCAGCCTTTCCTGCATGGCATCTTCCCTGTGTTGAAGTTTCAAGCCTTGAGCTCTCTTGCGCCCAGGTTTGTTACAGTACCAGCAAAGTCCCTCAAACTTCTCTGAAAGCTGCCCTTTTCTGGCTTGAATCCTGATGACTGTACCGACCTTGGTACCTCTGTGCTGGCCCAACATAGGATTCGAATTCAAGAGCTCTGGCCATTGCATCCTGCATAGTAGAGGGGTGTGCTTGCTTTACTTGTATCTTCCGTTGTAGACTGTCCAAGGCATCTACAAACTGATCCCTCAGCAACAACTTGAGGATATCAGGTGGAGCAGTTGGGTGGGTCTTATGTGCCATACTTTCCAAATCCTGTGCCAGCTCTTGCAAGCTCTCCTCTTTAGCATGGACTCTCGTCCTAAACCTAGCCCTGTAGACTTCGGACTGATTTTGAGTTCCATACCTGAGTTCTAGAGCAGCTACCAGTGCTCTATAGTTGTGCCTGTCGTCTGCTGACAACTGTCCAAGTATTTCCAGTGGTTGTCCCTCAGGCTTATTGCCAGGTACACTGCTTTCTGCTCCTCTGTCTA